CGGCGGCCGCCGCGGAGAAAGCGCCCCCGCCGCCCCCGCCGCCCACCCTGTACGTGCAGCTCCACGGAGAGACCACCCGGCGCCTGGAGGCGGACGAGAAGCCATTGCAGATCCAAAACGACTACCTCTTCCAACTGGGATTTGGGGAGCTGTGGAGGGTGCAGGAGGAGGGCATGGACTCGGAGATTGGCTGCCTCATCCGCTTCTATGCAGGTAAGCAATTCACCTGCACGTTGACGGGTGATGGCAGACACGTCCAGGGATTGAGGAACGACTCAGATTGCTCGTCTGCCCACCCAAGAGTAAGTGCGGGTCCTGGTGAGTCTGTGTGTGGTACTTCCTTCCAGCTTTTACGTGCGATCTGTGTATACTGGACGGAGCAATCTTTAAATCTGCGAGTTTTAGTCAAGGGCTCAGAGGTTGGAAAGCAGTGTGGAGGTGGCCGGATCATCAGGAAGTACAGGAAGCAGATACTCCTGAAAGAGGCAGTAGCATGTTTAACAATAAAAATGCTTCCTTCAGGCCTCTCCTCGGGGGCTTGCTGGGTTTCAGGCCGTTTGGGATTTCAGGTAGGCCATCATGTGAACCTAATACTCACGGAGGAAAATGCTCTACCCCTCGACTGCATTTGACTGTCCACTTTCCTGTTCTAGTTGTAAGTACATGCCACCGTGAACTCATGGTGTCAACTGGTGCCCCTGTTTATTCAGCTCTGCATTGCTTATTTACCCACAAAGTCTTCATCAGAAATCTGAAAATAGGATCCCTTTTTAAGTGATACTTTGCCCCAGCACCTTCTTTGCCCTATTTCAGATTCCTCTGCAAGTTTGTCCTGCAACAAAAATGATTTTGTCTGTTTCTTTCTGTCATTTCTTTCTTCCGGCCTGGGTAGTCAGAACTGACCACTGTAATAGGACGTGCAGTAGGGTTTACAGTAAGAATTTAAGTGGCTACTGTTTACTCAAATGTGACCGAAAAATCCTCTCTAGTCTTTTTTCAGAACTTGATCAAATTCTTGACCCACGTAATGTTTCTCTTTTGGCTACAGACATTTCTGGTACTACATTAGGGAGCTACAGGTCCTGGTACTTGAGCTTTATAAGTAGTTTGCATCCTTTCCAATCTGTGGTTTGAAGAATTATGGTCTTAGTGATAAAGAATTTTATTTAAAATTAAATAGCAAAATTAAATCAAGAGTGTTAAATCTGCCAACTGGGCAATCCCCTCGGGTCTCCTCCCACTGCTTTCTTAAAAAAAAAAAATCTGTCAACTTTAGGTTTTAGGTTGTAGGTGATGGTGGGAAAAGGATTATACTTGCAACTCCACTACTTTGTAGCCATCCTTTTAAATTTAGTAAGTTTTTTGGTTCAACTTGTGTTCTAGTGGCAGTTTGATTAGTTTGCATGAAAAAATCTTTACTCCCACATTGAAATATGCAAGACCATGGCATTCCTAGTGAAATGTTCCCCTAAATTCCACTGAAGTTTTTCTGAAAACCTAATGTGGATTTCTGATGAATCTCTGCCTTGTAAAGTAATCCACATCATAACACAACAGCATTCGACAGTATCTGAAGATAATATCTCAACTGGATGTCATGCCTTTTAAAGTTTATGGCCCAGAAAATAGGTGATTTTTTAAAATGTAGGAGCAACAACTGCATATATCTTTTTCTCTTGAAGCTAGTGTAATTTGTAGAATCTTATTTTATAAGAGCATTCATGATTGATTAGGTGCCCTTATAACTAAACTCACTACATAGAAGGATATATATAAAACAAGACATGTATTAACCAGTATTTGAACTTATTTTATGTAGAAGGAGATCTTCGTCCCTTGTTTTGCTCATGATTGGATATGTTGATAATGATAAATGTCCATGGGAAAGGTTTTGGGTGTCACAATCATGAAATTTAAATCTTTGATTCCCTTTGTCTCTTCTAGAGTGTCTAAAATATTCTAAATAGATGATAAGCATTTTTAAAACTTAATGTAAAAATACTTTTTCTGGATAAATCTTAAATTTTTGTTGTGATCATTTTAATCATTTTTATTTTATTCTTTAGGAAAAGCAGTAATTGTAACTGCGTTCTGAACTTACTGCTTTATTTCGGTACACACAGCATAAATACATGTATGGCTCTTGAGTATATGCTCATAAGTGGGGATGCCACACATGGTATCTAACTTATTCTTGAATATGAAGCCAGTGTACAGGTTCTTAGAAGATACCTGTTTGTTACAAAGATGTCTAATTACTTATTTTGGTTTTTAAACAAAATTGAGTTTATTTTAAGCCTAAGTTTATATACATATCTGCTGATATTCATTTGTCATAGAACACAGTTTAGCATATGGTGAGTTCACTTGAAGTTTTTGCAAGGGAAGTTAGTTATATTGATGAACAGAAGGGCTTTGCTGTAATATAAGGTGGTCTCATTTAATGGGAACATTGTCGGGACTTCACATATATGAAGGTTTGCACCAGGCTGGAAGAGATTCCTAGAAATTACCTCTGTGCTCTAATAGTATATAGGACACTTCGACAGGGAAATATTACATTTTGGTAGTAATTCTTTTTCTTAGGAAGAAGTTAATTAATGTTTGTTTTAGATGACACCCTTTAGAAGGTGTTGGAAAATTCTGTACTCCATTTACCTTTGTAATTTTATATATAATTTATTGTTAAATTTGTTGCATGTTTTGCTGTGTGTCATTAGGGTTAAGGATAGCTAGGAAGTTGCTTTTGAAGCCATTTGAATATTTTTCTACTTTTAAATTGAGCTCATTATCTACTGTCTATATAGTTTTTCTAGTCAGCAACCCCCACACCCCTCCCCAGAAGCTCCTATCCAGCGGAGAACTGTCATTCTCTTGAGGGTCACCTTTCAATGAAATTTTAGCATTTATAACCGGACTCAGGTTATTCTTTGAAGGCTTTGAAAGCCATTTGTGGTTGCTTTGAACATTAAAATATTTAGTTGGGTAACATAAAATGAAATTTGCTAATGCGCTAAAAGACATTGGATAAAAGGTGCTATCTAATTACAGAGTTATTAATGAAAACTTAGTTCAAAAATTTGTTGTGGCATCTATCAGGCAGCCATTGTCTTAGCTAATTTAAGGTATGAGAGAATTTAAATAGCTTTATCTGAAGTTACTTCTAAGTATTTAATTCTTAATTTCCTTTTAAAATCAGACAGTTTAAATGAAACAGAATAATTTTAGGTTAAAAAAATTTAAGAACTTAGGTTGCCCAACACAAGTTATGGACTCCTAAACGTGAATGAGAGGCCGTGTCATTGATCAAGGGCAGTAATAAACTAGTTTTTAAAAATAGTTTTGGACTTCTTTCTGGTACTTTTTAAAGTTGAGTACTCTATTGTTCAAATTGTAATAATGGGCAAGAGTGTTGAATCTTGGACAAGATACTCTTACGCATGACTCCTTGGGATTGCTCGGGAACAGTCTCCTTACCCCTCTCATATTTCTTTTCTTTTTTCTCTTCTGGGAGTGATCAAACCTCATGTGGTTTCCCACATGGAAACCAAGAAGGGGGTAGTTCACCATTAAGCTGTAATATTGATGAACAGGTTCTTATTACTGTAATTACAGCAGTATTGAGTAATGTGGTTTGAACATGTGACACCAGTGTGTGCTTGAACAATCTTCAATTTTAAGTACAAGGGATTTAAATTAATTTTGTTGTTTTTTTATACTTATATTTTACATTTGTTTTTGTTGTAACGTACATGCCACCTTTTTCTTCATAATTGTGGTTTGATAACCTCTGTGATATGTTGGGTTTTATCATCTTCAAGAGTCTCAAAGGATTATCTAATTTGTCCTTTCAAAAACATTATTTGGGAGGAGTCAGTGTCAATCCCCTTTTTAGATAGAGAACTGACGTAAAGAGAGGTTTGACTCTTGCTTGTGGGTTTTTAGTCCTTGGCAGAGCTGAGAATAGAGAGCTTGGGTATTCTGTTTTGCAATTCGTATCACTTTCCATGAATTAATGCTGAATTTCATTTATACTTGGATTTTTCACTTGGTTAAAATCATTCAGAAAATACGCTATTTTTGTTGTTAATGAGGTGATATTATCTTCTGGTCCAAAGTGGTATTCCTTGTGAAATGTGAATGGTTCTATGTTTATCATGATAAAAATGTAAAGAACCAAGACTGGCAAATAAGTAGACTATGGAAAAAGTCCTAATGTTCCAAATATTCTGGTTGCAAATATTTATACTTGTGTTTAAGTTGATATGAATTAAAGTCTACAAAATGATTCCTTATTCCCTTACTCAAGCATGCCTCTTTTGTTAAACTGTATATTTTCATTGAGAAGTAGAGAATTAACATATCCCCTGAAAAGTGGATAACTTTTGAGGGTGAAATATCTATCTTATTTGCCTAAAATTTTTATTTTAAAATCAATATATCTTTTAATTGTTTTATAGGTGTTACTATGCTCTTGTACAGTTTTTATAATTTGAGCTAGAGAGTAAGTTCTTCTCCCTGAATTTCATAGTTATTCCTAAAATGATGAGTCTGTTGTACTCATTGAAATATCTGTAGGGAGAGGAGATGAATATAAGTGACTTTTTGTAAAGTTTTGGGTTGAAAGTTGTATCTTTTTGTTGCTATAAGTTTGTTAAAAGCGGCCACCTTAAATGACTGGTGATGCGAAAATGATTATTTTTTAAGTGTAGTGTTTTTGTTGTTTCTCATTCTCTTTCTTAGAATCTTGAATTGAGCTTTTGATTTATTGGTAATATAACATTCGCTGACAACGTATATGATCCAAGCCTAGTATAGTACTTGACATTGTAGTTTAACATTTGTTGAATTGCATCTGTGGAATTTTGTTAAGCAGCTGGCTGTGTGTGCTCTGATTCTTCAGCCTTCCATCCTGTGTGGGTCCCCAGGGATGTGTTAAACACACACACACACACACACACACACACACACACACACACACACACACACACACACACACACACACACACACACGCATTTCTCCCATGGCAGGAGATTTTAGATGTGCCACATACTATTAATATCTTCTATTTCACGTGAGTGAATTCTGTGTGGGTTTTGAGAGAGCAGTTCTCTCTCAAAGTTTTCTTAGAGTTAATAGGTCCCCCCCTTTTCAAAGGCATCTCTTAACTTTGTGGTGAACTTAATGAGACATCTGTCAAATGAGGCATCTT